CTTCTATTCTTTTATTGTATCTCCTTACTAACGAAACAGAAGATTCATCAGTAAATAAAATGTTTTTAATAGAATTGGGTTCATCATTAGCCTTCGTTTTTAAAATTTCCCAAAGCTCAATTCTTTAAAAGTAGTCGTCTGGATAAAGCTGCTGCGTTTTCGAATATTTAAAATTTTTGTAACCGTGCTTTTTCCATACTTTCGTTACAGTAACATTGCTAACATCTAACTCTCTAGCAACGCTTCTACTTGAACGTGTTGAATTTACCTCGATTGTTGCTCAAATTTGTATATTCCGGTATTATCTTTCCTCATCTTTTTCTGGTGACACTTGTTGAGCGTGATATTTTCTGCAATTTTTGAGGCAATAATGACTCTCAAAATTTTTAATAATATTATAAACTGACTGTACGCAAGGAATTGGTCTCCTCTCAAAAAAATACAGAAAATAAATCTACGCACTTCTTCTTCTTCAGGTGCCATCTCCGCTACGAAGGTTGGCAATCATCATAGCTATCTTAATTTTTGAGGCAGTAGCTCTAAATAGTTGTTTTGAGCTGCATCCAAACCATTCTCTCAGGTTCTTCAGCCATGAAATTCGTCTTCTTCCGATGCTTCTTCTGCTGAATTACCACCATAAAACAATTTTATGTTTTGAACCTTTCTTGCGGGCGTATAAACAGACATGTTGTTTACAAAAATAAATTAAAAATTTACTCTCGTAGCGCTTTAAACAACAACTGTATAATGACAAATTATTCGCAATGGGACAACCGAGGTTCGTGGAAAGTCGACGGTGTACAGTGTTGCCATTTACAGTAAGTTTATCTAATTTAAAACTTGTGATTCGTTTTTTACTCACAGCTCGGTTACCTTTTAAGCTATGAAGTACTTAAAAAAATGTTATATTTTATCAATTTTTGTAAGGGGATATAGTTAAAAGGGCTTGAATAGAACTAACTTAGAACAGCCATATCTTAACCAATTTTTGTTTCACAGAAAATCAAAAAACAAAATGTTCAAAGAAAAACAAAACCTATATTCCTGACTCCTCAAGATTTTTCGTATCAATAACTTTTTTAAGTTATTTTGAAAAAAAATATTTTTATTAAAAACTTCAAAAAAAATTATTTTACTTTAAAACTAAGTTTATAAAAATAAGCACATTGATCCAGTCAAGTTTACAATTATATAAACAATACATAAATAAAGTAAATTGTAACGCAGTAATGAATAATTTCATTCTTCTTCCTATGCCGTCCCCATTAACGGAGGTTGGCGACCACATTTTTAAAAGCTTCTCTGTCTTTTGCAACGTGGAATAATTCGTCTACAGTCATGTTTGTCCAGTCTCGAATATTTCGCAGCCATGACTTCCTCTTTCTACCTATTCCCTTTTTGCCATCGACTCTACCCTGCATGATGACCTGCAGAAGACTATATTTATTATTTCTTAGTATGTGTCCAAGGTATGCAGTCTTGCGTACTTTTATCGTTCTCAACAATTTTTTGACTCGACCCATTATTCTCAGCACTTCCTTATTGGTCACCCTGGCAGTCCATGGGATTCTCAACATTCTCCGGTATATCCAAAGTTCAAAGGCTTCAATCTTTTTAACTATTTGCGCTTTTAGTGTCCATGTTTCTACCCCATACAATAATTGCGACCAGACGTAACATTCAACAAACCTCAGTCTCAGCGCAATATTCAGATTTTTGTCACAGAACAATTGTTTGAATTTTAAGAACGCTGCCCTTGCCATTTCTATTCGTACCCGGATCTCTTGGTCTGGATCTAATTCTGTGTTGATGTAAGCTCCCAGATATTTATATTTTGTCACTCTCTCTATTTGCTGTCCACCAAGAGTTAGTTGTTCATTATTTATTGGACTCCTTGATACTATCATAAATTTGGTCTTACCTGTGTTGATGTCAAGTCCCATTTGAGTGCATTCACTATTTATTGCATCTAGTAAAGTTTGTAGATCTTCTATACTCTCAGCCATAATTACCGTGTCATCTGCAAATCTCATGGTGTTTATGATTTCTCCACCAATTCTTATTCCCTCTTTTCTTTCCCATAAGGCTTTTCTGAATATGACCTGTGAGTACACGTTGAAAAGCGTCGGAGACAAGACGCATCCTTGCCTAACCCCTCTCGCAATCGGTATATTATTTGTTTCTATATCGTTCACCTTTACTACTGCTTTCTGGTTCCAGTATATAGCCTTAATAAACTCAATGTCTTTTTTGTCTAAATTGATGTTTTTTAATTCATCTATTAACTGCATATGCTGCACTCGGTCAAAGGCCTTCCTAAAGTCTATGAAGCATACATATGCACTCTTGTTATATTCCCGACATTTCTGCAAGAGTACCGTCAACGCAAATAATGCCTTTCTTGTACCCATGCCTCCTCTGAAGCCAAACTGAGTTTCATCTATCTGTATAATTTCATTAAGATCATGAATGTGTTGATTGTGTGAGTCCATTTCAAATAGGTAAAACAAATAATAAATAAGATTTACTCACAATCAATTTAATTTAACTATCCAGACGACCGGTTTCGCTTTCTACAATATGCAAAGCATCTTCAGGTCTCAATACAAAGATAAATAAATGCTGAAATAATAAACCCATATTAGGTGTTGTCTAATAAAGATAAACAAAGATAGATGATATAAATTACAGTAATTATGCCAATATTACATGCCTGTGGTTTTTCAAAATGAATAAAAAGTTTTAGCAGACAAGGTAAGACCCACAAATTGGTATAAAATAGTCTATTAAATTGTAATAAATTAATAAATGAACAAATAAATAAAACATTAGTTACATGCCGGTACTCTATTAATTGATGGTTGGAAGAACATGGTTGAAACTATTATGTATTGTTGAATGGAGAACTTAAGTCTGCTATTGTAATTGTTTGACAATAAACCATCCAATGATAGATATATTTTATCCAATGAAGTAGAGATAGGTGTAATGTGATTGTTTGTTAGATGAAAGTGATGTTCTATACCATTGAATTATTTAAAAGTTATTTATATGTATTCAAGAGATATATTTATAAAATGTGTGTTATTTATTAAGATTTTATTTTATGAAGGTGACAGTTGTATGATAATGAATGAGATTAGATGAACAAATTGTGTGGGTGTAAAATTCTTTCTTTTGCCAATTTCATTAAGGGTTCTACTTAGGTGATAACTGTTACGATGTTTTACCAAAAAAGGGACCAACTTTATTTTGAGCGTAACTCGCTGAGTTTTAATGCTGAAAACGTTAAAAAATACAAAAATAAAGTTTATTTTAAATACCTTCATAAAGTTTAATAAGTTTTTCCCAAAAGGTGCTTAATTTTTTGGTTATTTCACGTTGAAATATTTGATTTGAAATTTGACAAATAATAATCTACATTTAAGGAGTTACAATTATGTTTCTACTGGATCCACAGACTTTATAAGTACACCAATTTTTGTGTTTTTTTATAAGCTACATTTTTGTTAGAAATATTTTTTCGATAAAATGCTTACTTTTTGAGTTATTTGTGAATAACCGTCTAAAAACGTGGTTTTTATTTTAAAAAATGAACATTTTCACTTACAAATAACTCAAATAGTGTTAGTGAAAAACTCCAAAGAGCAAAAGTTGCTTAGAAAACTCAGACTATCCATTTCCGGAGATATTTTGAATGTATTTTTTCCGTTTATTGGGATATTCACCGATCTGGTACATTATGGTAGCGTACCCTAAAGTTTACTTTATTTTGATAATAACATTGACCCCTATGTGTTATTCTACAACGATATTATGTGTAGATCTTCTTTTAGTTTTTAGATTAACATTCACCATTCTAGAAAGTTTGTGCTACTTCTACTTACACTTTTACAAACGATTTTTGATTAACATAACAAATTTTATGTGTCATCATTTATCCTCTAATGTCCACTGTTGAACATAAGCCGCATCCTCTTGTTTTAAACTCTATCTATGCGATCTTTATCCCGTTTTTATTAATTTGATTACTGTTTCGATATAGGGTATATTAGCACAAAATAGTGTAGAGACGCGAGTTCTGCGTGCGCAGTGGCAAAATTCGAAAACGTGGGAACAGTTAGTTTGCCGATTTCTTTTGTGCAGTGGTATAAAGTTGTGAGATAAATATGCAAAATGTACAAAAACAACATGTTATAAATCATCAAACGCAAGAAATAATTTATAACATTTTAAAATTTACAAAAAATTAAGCTGAAAATGGTGGACGTTGGTGGGCATGGAATTCTGCTCCTTCGCCAAAACAAACATTGGTATCAAAAATTAAATTGGATGCAACTTCATTACACTATTTTACGCAGAACCAAAAAATAGGACAATTATCTTCGCCACTGAAATACACAGAATATAAATAACATTCTAGTTACCCTAAAGAATATAATTGAAGTAATGCAACCGCAAAAAGTTTTCAAATACTCGTTTCTAAGTGATAGGGGCTTAAAATTGTTAATGTTTAAAATAAAAATTGTTTTGTGAAAGTTTGAAGGATATTATAAACAAAAAGTGGATACTATCTCGACGAAATAAATTCTGAAAATTCTAAGGAGTGGTTGATAGAAAAAAGCTCCTTTTTTAAGAAGACATAAAAATATGGTTAAGAGATAAAAATATTTCTTTTGATGTTAAGATGCTTCGACCTGATCTTTACGATTTGATCAAAATCATATCCAGGTCTGTTAGATAAGTAATTGATCTTATCGCAAACATGAGGATTTAAGAATGCCACTTTATATTTTAGACTTAATCCAATCGAATTGGTTTGGGCTCTACTTAGTATTATTATTTCCTACTTTAAATATTCATTTAGTTCAATGTTTCGTGTCTTAGGAAATGTTATTGCTTTACTGAATTTTAGCTTTTTTTCAATTTATAAATTTTTTTGTACATCTCATTTGGTAACTAACTGGAATCATTATTTTAACTAGCTTTTTTTGTTTCAGATCTGACAAAAGATGAAGAAACTCTATCGCCCCTGGTAAGTTTATAGTTTAGCTATCCTATATATACATATATACCACACAAACATACACAAAAATAAATATTAATTTGAAAATAAATCATTACATAAAAAAATTCAAAAGACGAAAATAATATTTTAATATATTTTATTCCCATATTTTAATTAATACCCATTGTTAAATATTATAATGGTATACAATTTTTAATTTTCTTTTCAGGACGAAAATGTAAAGGAACTTGAAAGTTTGAAGCAATCATTTGGTAAGCATTTCAATTATTATACATAAAATTACAACGGGAATTCAAATAAAAAGCATCATCATCCTGGGATCATATTTATATTTGCTCAATTAAATACTTACGCAAATCTATTTAATATAGTATATTAAATCCTATAGTAAAAATAAAGTGAAAAAGGAAACTAAATTCACGTTTATGATCGAGTACTTAATAAACTAAAAAAAAGGAATTAAGTAAAAGTTAAATCAAGCAAACTAATAAGGTTAACATAATTTTTTTTTATGAACACCTGCGCGGTGTTTGTATACTGCTATCTGGTCACAAATGACCAATTATCAGTTATTTCTGACCTAACATAATAACAGCAAATACTTAAATGTAAGGGCTTACCCTATGGCTTACTCTTATTTTATCTATTAACTAATGCACTACAACTAGCATGCAATAACTTCACAGCACTATACTCTGCGTTTTACACTAAACTGTGACATATTTACACTAGCTCAACTGGTTTTGTCCTTATGAGTCTTCTCTTTAGTTCAGTGTTGTCAAGAAGCTGGATTGCCTCGACATTCACATGACTACGCAGCCTCTGCTCGTGACTTGCTGCTGTTCTCTTGATTATTTCGATCACAGTTTCCATACCCAGGTCCTGGTGGAGGTTGCTGTTACGGATATACCAAGGAGCATCAACAATGTTTCTCAGTACTTTATTTTGAAATCTCTAGATAATAAGTAGATTACTAGCTTTGGTACAGCCCCAGAGTTGGCACCCATATACTCAGTACTTGCTTGTAGATGGATAATTTATTATGAATTGATAATGTTGAATTTTTTCCAATCAGCCAATACAATTTCTTATATCTAATATCAAGCTCCCCTCTTTTCTTTTTGACATGGACTTTCCAGCGCAGCTTCGCGTCTAGGGTGATGCCCAAGTATTTTGCCGATGTTGCATAAGGAATTCGGGTATCATTTATTCTAACTGGGAAATTTTCTATTTTTTTATTTGTAAAGTTAATGTGTGCAGATTTAGTCTCATTTAATTTTATTCGCCATTTTCTGGTCCAGTTATGTATTTTATTTACTGATAGTTGCAATTTATCAGTCGCTTCTTCACTAGTGTCTCCTATCGCTAGTATGGCTGTATCATGGCGCAGGTGGCAATAGTATTTTGTTCTAGCTCTGGACTGTCACACGTATACAATAGGTACAGGACCGGACCAAAGACACTTCCTTGTGGCACGCCAGCTTTGATCTCCCTTAAGTCGGTGTACACTTCTTCTTGTTTTACTCTGAAATATCTATTCGCAATGTATGATTTCAAGATTTCTGAATACTGTTTAGGCATGAACGTTCTTAGTTTATAGTTTAAACCGTCATGCCAGACTTTATCAAACGCCTTTGCTACATCCAAGAAGATTGTAGAGCGGACTTTATTTTCTTCTAATGTTTTTTCTATAATATTCGTTATTCTGTGAACTTGATCTATAGTGAAATGTTGATTTCTGAAACCAAATTGATGATTTGGTATAAGATTTCTTCTTTCTATTATTGGTTTTATTCTTTTTAATAGAAGTTTTTCAAATAGTTTTGACATCACCGGAAGGAGGGATATTGGTTGATAGGATGTCACTTCATTAGGAGATTTACCTGGTTTGGCGATCATAATTACTTCGGCTACTTTCCAGAGTCTGGGAACATATCTCAATCTAAAAGCAGCATTTATTAGGTATGTCAGCTTAATTATGGCTTTTCTTGGAAGATTTTTTAATAATTCTCCTGTTATCAGATCATATCCTGAAGCTTTATTAGGATTTATATTCTCTTTTATCTCTGTTGTTCACTATCACTGTCGTTGGGTTTGAACGTGCTTTCTAAATTATCTGCAAATCGTTCTGCTTTCTGTTCATTACTTCTAGCCCAGTTGCCGTTTTTAAACTTGATAGGAGCTGAATGAATAATTGGTCTCTTCAATCTTTTTGTTGCCTTCCATAAAGAATAATTTGTGTTCTGGTCAGCTGTTAAATTACTTAAAAAATAATTAATTGTTGAATTTTTTATATTCTGTATCTCCCTTTTTAGTTTTTGTGTAGCATTATTTAGACTAGTTTTGTCTCGTGGAGCTCTGTATTGCTGCCATTCTTTTCTTAACTTCCTTTTTTCTACTATGAGTTCTCTGATTTCTTTTGGATAGTTGTTCCCTTTTGTTCTAGAAGTTATTGTGGGTGTATTTTCCCAAGCTGACTGTTGGATATTTTTTATAAAAACTTCTAATTCGTCATCGAGTTGCCTCGTGTTTCTTAATGGAACAGCAAGATTAATTTTGTGTTCAAGGTTTATTTTGAAGCTCTTCGAGTCAGTTTTTTTATTAGTCAATATTGGATTAAACTCTTTTTTAATCACTGTATTACTCATAGTTAGAATTATCGGTGACTGATCAGAGTTCATGTCCCAGCCGTCATTGATATCCAGATAGTTAGCTGAGATATTTTTGTAAATAAAGAAATCTATCAGGTCTGGAATTTTGTTCCTATCGGTAGGCCAGTATGTTGGTCTACCAGTAGAGATTACTTCACCCTTTTGTTCCTTAACAGCTGACAATAGTTCTTTTCCTTTAGTTGTAGTTAGCCTAGAGCCCCAGTGGGTATTTTTTGCATTAAAGTCGCCACCGATGATGTATATTTTTCCTAAAGTGTTCATAAACTCTTTATATTGCTCTCATTGTTTTTGTTTGTTCTCTCTCTGTAATTTTTTAGCTACATAACATCCGCGGTAGTTTGCAGGATGGTTTTCTCCACAATGAACACATTTTGGTTTATCTTCTGGTGGTTTTTGGCAATCTTTAGTAAGGTGTTTACCAATACATTTTACACATCTTGGCTCCTTTTTACAGTATTTCCACGTGTGTCCGTAAGCCTGGCATCTTTTACATTGTGGGACTAATCTGGAACTCCTTAACGGCTCGATTTCAACTCTCGTACTAAGTATGTCTGTTATGCCGTAAATTCTATTTATATTTTCATCTTGTCTAAATGTTAGGATGAACATATCTAGTGGTTTTTTAGTTTTCCATTTGAATTTCTTGTCAGCTTTAATGGCTTTATATTGTCGTTTTTGTAGGTCTTTTACTATTTCCTCTGGTGGCCATGTGTGATGTAATTTCTTAACAACAACTCTAATTGGTCTCTCTTGCTTATTTTCATAAGTGTGGTACGAAAGGTTACTCGTATTTAATGTGTCTATTAAAGCTCTGTAATGATCGCTATTGGCTGTATTAATTTTTATAACTTCACTGTTTATGATTTTCATAAATAACATAAATAACGATGAAGATATTAAGCGGAGCGAGATTATTTATGAAAAAGTCGAAAATGTTCCAAATTAACTAAGTTCCAGTGGAGCCTGAGTAATCTGGACCGTATCTTGTACAGAATATTTTTAATTACTATTTATAACTGGGAATAAACCACAATTAAAGATAAAAATACGTTTATTGACGTTTCAATTTCCAATTCGGAAATCGTTCTCAAAATACAAACAGTATTTATCTTATTATCAATTATTTATTTATCTCAATTTACTGTTTGTATTTTGAGAACGATTTCCGAATTGGAAATTGAAACGTCAATAAACGTATTTTTATCTTTAATTGTGGTTTATTCCCAGTTATAAATAGTAATTAATATACAATGCCACAAGAAAATAGCTTCAGAACAGAATATTTTTATGACAAAATTTTTGCTGCTTACTGACATATCGTAATTTAATAACCTAGATAAATTTAAGTTCTATAATTTCAAACAATTAGTTTAAGATCATGCTATTTCAATGTATTATAAAGCCTATTTTTTGGCCAAATAGCACAGCAAAGAGGGTACAATCAAGACCATCACGAGCAAATTGGTAAATATATCCTGTATCTGTACATATAACTTATACAAGGGAATAGTGAGTATTTGAATGACTAATGCAATTAATATTTTCGTTGAAAATAAGCCACAATATAAGTTTAAATTAAGTTTACTTTTAATTTCTGCATTTTCACTTCGAAAACCGTTTTCAAAAGACAAACATTGTATTTTAAGTCTAAATCCGATGCCGTCTTATACATCGATTTATTCAGTGAAATTTTAAAAAATGTACCTCTTGGATGAGACTGTTCTCGATAGCGTTAGTTAAACTGAGAACAGTAATTTTAACAGTTACGTCTTACGAATTTTATGCACAAACGATATTTTGCTTGTATGAAGTAACTTGATTAGGGACACCTTTCATTGTATCGTCTTTAGAATTCGAAGACACACTGCCTCGCGCTTAGACAAATGAATTAAACAATATGGTAGTGCAAAGAGTAGAGTCGTAGTAAGGAGTCAAACGGTTTAATGTTTAATAAAATTATAAAAAACAGACCAATTAAGAGCCGGCTTTTTGATGATTAGAAAATTTCTATGTAACCAAGAACCAAAGAAGGTCAAATGTTATACCCAGTTTATAGCGCTGAAGCTTGGACTGTTAATGTTGACTTATAAGAAAGCTGAAAACTTTTAAAATGTGGCTGTATAGAACACTTTTAAAAATACCATGGACAGATCATATTTCGAACAAAACGGTGTTGCAGAGATGGGAAGAGACAGAGATCATCATTAAAAAGAGAGAGATGGTGAAAGACGGATTTAGGACACATACTCAAAATTGATAAGTACGAATTATTACATCTGATTATAAAAGGTAAAATGTAAGGAAAACGCGATCCTGGTAGAGGACAAATATCCTGACTAAAAAATATACGCGACTGGACCAGGTTAAACACACAGACACTTTTAAGAAAATCAAAAAATATAGATGTGCTTACAATGGTTATAGCCAAACTTTTATCAGTGGCTTATAGCCAACCTTAATCCAACAATACTTAATATTAACTTAATATAACAAGGGAAGAAATATATCTACCGCACATTGGTAAATATAGTCTCCATAATAATACTAATTCGAATGGACACCGAGCAGTCACGTTCGCAGCCTCGAAGAACATGATCGTAGGAAGCACATGTTTTCTACACAAAAAAATACATATGAGGACTTGGACCTCGCCTGATGGATTAACGAACAACCAAATTAATCATGTAATCATAGATGCTAGATACTTCTCCAACCTTATAGATGTCCGCACCTATCGAGGCGCCAATATTGATTCAGATCATTTTCTAGTTGGCACGAGAATTCAGACTAGAATCTCAAATGCGAAGAAGGAGAGAAGTACCAAAACAAGGCGCCTTAATATTGAACTCCTCAAAAATCCGCAAACGGTAGAAAGGTTTCAAAACTATATCGAAACTAAATACATAACTAAAGAGAATCTAACAATTAGTGAACAATGGAAAATGTGTAAAAAGTATATTAAAGACGCAGCAAATAACATTCTAGGGCCACAAAGACCACCACCATGCAATGAGTGGTTCGATGCTGAGTGCGAGGACATTACAAGAAAAAATAACAATGCATATAAACTGATGCAGCAAAGAAGAACATGATCATCCGTCGGAGAAAAAAGCGAACTTATGAAAATAGAATATTGGAAATAACATAAAGTAAATAAGAAAAAAACTAAGACAATGGCATCAAAACCCAACAATAGAGCCGGAAACATCGGCCATCAATTCACTGTTAATAACTCTACCTTTGAAGTAATGGACAAATTCACATGCTTAGGCTCCCTGAACACCAAGGAGAACGTCATGACGGAAGAAATCAAGCGAAAAATATTTGTAGCAAGCAAATGCTATTTTGGATTGAGTAGACATATGAGAAGCAGAAACTTAAGCCAAAAACAAAGATAACCATATACAAAACCCTTATACAACCAGTGTTGATATATGGATCGGAGACATGGACCATCTCCAAAGCAGATGAAAACCTCCTGCTTATATTTGAACGAAGGATCCTGAGAAGAATATTCGGTAGCATCTGTGAAAATCGTGTTTGAAGAAGGAGGTACAACCACGAGATATATCACAAATATAAATATATACTTGGTGGTAAAGACGTAATATCTCTTATAAAAATACGAAGACTAAGATGGGCAGGACATCTGGTAAGATCACAGCAGAACAACCCTCCTAGAAGAATCCTGATGTCACAACCTGTGGAAAGTAAAAGTAGGAGCAGGCCAAAACTCAGATTGAGAGATAGTGTAAATGAGGATGGTAGAAAAATGGCAATAGTTGGAAATTGATAGAACTGACTGGCGTAATAGATTTGAGATGACCGAGGCCCTTTTATAGGGCTGCAGTACCAATGATGATGATGATATAGCCAACCTTAATAAGTGGGATTGGCAATAGAAAGATAAAAAGGTCCAACGCTACTATTAATTGGCTAATACATTAATTACTTTAATAACTTTTCAATCTATTTGTTGTCACGAAATTAATTCAGTAGACCAATGGATTATACATCCACTTAAGCTGTTTTCCTGTTATTGGAATATTCACCAGCCAGTTATAGCATACAAACTAATCAGATATATTCAGTTAGTTTTATTTGAAAGAAGCAAATAATAGCTATTAACCCACATAAGCTTAAAGAAGAATCCACTAGTAATAAAACACGGGAAGAAATACATAGACACTTGAGTAACAGAACAGTTTAATCGACACAAACTCCCAAGGAAGACTGGCACTATATTGAGAAAACACTTACAAGAGTAACAGAAGACTACCTCAAACAAGATACACGAAAAAAGAAACCATGGATGACAGAAGAAATTCTAAACATGATGGACGAAAGAAGAAAATACAGAGGTAAAAATGAAACAACATACAAGCAAATACACAAGCATATCAGAATAAAGATCCAACAAGCCAAAGAAACCTGGCTAAGTGAAAGATGCCAAGAAATTGAAGAGTTGGAACAAAGACATGATACTTTCAATCTACATACAAAAGTAAAAGAAGCCGCTGGAATATTTAAACAAACTCCTACGTCTTTCATCGAAGATAAACATAGGAACCCGCTACTGAACATAGAAGATCAAATAGATAGATGGAGAGAATACGTGGAAGAGATGTTTCAAGACCGAGAGAGGACGAACATTTACATGCAGGAGGCATCGACTGGACCTTATATCACAAAGCAAGAAATTATCAAAGCGGCAAATCAGATAAAGAACGGAAAAGCTGTTGGGGAAGATAATATCCCAATTGAAATAATAAAGATATTACTAGACGAACACATCGAATTAATGGAAGATATATTTAACAAAATATACGAAACAGGCATAATACCAAATGATTGGCTGACATCGGTGTTTATACCACTACCAAAGAAGAAAAACTCCAAGAAATGTGAAGACGATAGGATGAATCATATATTGAAACTTTTCCTACGAGTAATACACAATAGAGTATACAATAAACTAGACGAACACACTGGTCAAACTCAGTTTGGTTTTAAGAATGGGTTCGGAACAAGAGAAGCACTTTTTTCAATACGTGTGCTAGTTGAATGATGTAGAGAGGTCTATTCTGATGTATACTTGTGTTTTATAGACTTTCAGAAGGCGTTTGACCTGGTGAAACATAATAAACTAATAGATATTTTAAGGTCATATAATATCGACGATAAAGACTTAAGAATCATTTCAAACATCTACCAAGAACAAAAGGCTAAAATCAGAATAAAAAGCGAAACATCTGCAAAAATCAATATCGAGAAGGGAGTAAGACAGGGATGTGTCTTATCACCTTTGCTGTTCAATGTTTACTCTGAGAAGATATTTCAGAAAGTTTTGGAAGGCACCTCGGATAATATAATTATAAACGGGCAATGTATAAATAACCTGCAATATGCTGATGACACTGTCATACTGGCAAATAATGCTGAAGCCCTGCAACGCTTAATGGACCGAGTAACGACAGCCTCTAGAGAATTTGGAATGAAATTGAATACAAAGAAGACAAAAATGATGGTCATCAGCAAGCAGCAAAACAGAAGGGTGAAGGTCAATGTCGACGGAACAGATCTGGAAAGAGTATCAAGAACAACGTACCTTGGAAGTAATCTTGATGAAACTTGGAACCACTCACTAGAGATAAGAATACGCCTGAAAAAGACACGTACAATGTTTTACAAAATGCAAAAAGTTCTATGCAACCGCCAGCTGGGCATCTCATTGAGAACTAGAATACTTAAGTGCTATGTTTTCTCCACCTTGCTCTATGGTGTTGAAGCCTGGACAATGACAGAAGCAACACAAAAAATAATCCAAACATTTGAACTCTGGTGTTACCGTGAAATGCTCAGAATATCCTACATGAGCCACACGACAAATGCGGAAGTCTTGCGAAGGATGAATAAGGAAAGAGAGCTTATGCTTATAATAAAAGAACGGAAAACACAATATTTTGGTCACATCATAAGAAATCAAAAGTATGAACTGCTCCAACTTATAATCGAAGGCAAAGTCAATAGCAAAACAGGACCAGGAAGAAGACGCAACTCTTGGCTTAAAAACCTACGGCAATGGACGAACATGACCTCCATAGAACTATTCAGGGCTGCTACAAATAAGATTTAATGGGCAAATGTAATGGCCAACGTCCTTAAGGATAAGGCACCGTAAGAAGAAGTTTTATTTAAAAGATAACATTGCAAAAAAAAAATGCAAAAAAATGCAAATATATTTAACCGGTTGTATTAAGTACGTTATTACCATTTTCTAACTTGTAGTAACTTAATTTCTCTATCATGCAATAAAAGTCTCACAAATATGATGTAGTATTTAAGCCAAATCTAAATGTTAATGGGAGTTTTATATCGCATTTTTCGTATTAAGAGGATTTTCCGCTACCACCGACATAAAATTCCCATTATCCTTAGTATAAACTCACAAAACAATAAAGATTAGGAAACGTTATTTGGTTTTTGTTCTTTTAGGTAAGCTGGGAAAGACCCTGGATTTGATTAAATCCCAGTCGACGGAATTCACGGACCTGAATGGACAAAAACAATCGCATTCAGAAACGAAGGAGGAAAGTAAGTCATTCAGTCAACCTTAAATTAATTAGGGTATCGGAGAAATCTATAAAGAAAGTAGCATTAAAATATTTTGTATAAGAGATTAAACGTTTATTGATAAAACAATCATTGAAGGGTTCTAAGAATCTACACTGTTTAGTAATTATTGATTACTAAAAAGTGCTATATAATCATAATAAAATGTATCATAATTTAATGATAATAAAATAAAAATAAACTTTAAATCCTAAAAATATTTTAGTTTATCTTTGTCTTTCTTCTTCTTCTAGTGCCGTCTCCACTAATGACGCTTGACTATAACCATTGCAAATTTGTCTCTATCTTCTGCTTTTCTTAAGAGCGCCTGTATGTTTAATCCGGTCCAGTCAAGAATGTTTTTCAGCCAGGATATTTGTAGTTTACCAGGACCTCTTTTTTGCTTTTTTTCTTCGATTTTATCCTTCATAATTAGCTGCAACAACTCGTACTTATCATTTCTAAGTTTGTGTCTCAAATATGCTGTCTTTCTCCTTTTAATGGTGGTCAAAAGTTCTCTGTGTATTAGGTAAATTAAATTATATTTATTTTAGGTAAAAAAAATATATAAAAAATAGAAGAGACATGTAAACCTTAGTAATAAGTTTTGACAGAGCGAAAAAGAAAATCAAATTTAATAATGTCATTATGTTAATTAATTTTGCTAATTTTAAAACACAATCCTCACAAGGGTAAGCTTATTTAAGATATAACAACTTCATTTTTCTAATGTAGTTTTTTATGATAATTTTTAGTACGTTTTGAAAAAGAGTACAGTAAACTCGAAAGCTTAACAAACCCAAAAGAGTTTTACTTAAAGGCCAATATTGACTACTAAACCCAAGATGTCCGTATATATTACTCACATAGTCACTAAAGCCCTTTCTAAAAAAAAAGAATATATATATATATATATATATATATATATATATATATATATATATATATATATATATATATATATATATATATATATTATTCAGTTCTTTTTTTAGTTCGTGGATTTTAGTATCTGTTCATGGATATAATTTTATACGTTACTACATTTATTTTTTGTCGAAATCCTTGAGACGAAATCGGTTTCGCGGTGTGCAATCCCGAGTTAGTAACTCTACCCACCTGGGGTCCTATTTCGTTTGTTTTATAATTCGACATGTTTACTGAAGAGGGTTTTTTGGCATTAAAACACCTCACTTGCTGGACGGGTTGGTGCGTTCTGTATCAGCCACCCACTCTGGGTCAGACGCTGTTCGTAGCCGTCCACTCTGGATCAGACGCTACTGTTTTGCTAGTTTTAGATTTAGCCAAATTTCGTCTAAATACTAGATTTTTCTTCTTTCACGTCGATAATTTCGGATTTTTTTAGGTAATGTCTCTGCCACAAAATAATATTTTTTCTTTATAGTTTTCCTTTTTTGACCACGTCTCCTTTCACTATTTGGACCTTCCATATTTGTCAGAACTCTATAAAAACGTAATAATCGTTTTAACTTAACTACAGTGCTGATTTATTTCAATAATATCAAAAACAAAGTCATTCTAAATATATCAGTTATTGTTAAACAATATAATGAGAAATGAAAAACAATTTGTAGACTCAAGACACCAATCGAATATAATAAACGTCCGTACCAGAAGAGGGGCAAATGCGGATTCTGATCACTACCTGGTCGAAAGTAGGATAAGGGCTAGAATTTCAAACATCAAAAAGGAACGAGGCTCTAAATATGAACGATACAATATAGAAGGATTCAAAGAAACAAACAAAAATAGAGAGTACAATGAAAATATAAGCATCAAACTAGAAAACAGACTAAAACATGAAAACCTAAATGAGGAGTGGGAGGAGTGCAGAGAAATCATAAAAGAAATAGTTAAAGAGGTGTTGGGCATGGAAGGTAAAGAAAGAAAAACAAAAACGAATCACTGGTTTGACGAAGAATGTCAAAATATAACAGAAAGAAAAAACAGAGCATATCTACAGATGCAACAGAGGCACAGAACCCGACAAGCAGAGGAAGAATAGAAACAACTACGTAAAGAAGAAAAAAAAATTCACCGAAGAAAGAAGAGAGAATATATCAACAAAGAACTTTAAGAACTACAAGAACTAAGTAAACCAACAGAGACAAGAAAATTTTACCAGAAACTCAACAAAAGCAGAAAAGAGTTTAAACCGAGAACAACGATGTGTAAAGATAAGGAAGGTAATATATTGACAGAACAGCAAGAGATACTTAGAAGATGGACAGATTATTTTAAGAAAAAGCTTGGGGTAAATAGGACGGAGATGAACCCTGATATACCATTAGACCAAGCAGACAACAGAGAAAAGAGTCCACCAACAATAGCAGAGATTAGAACAGCAGTGGACAAATTAAAGAACAATAAATCACCGGGATTAGATCAAATATCATCGGAGCTACTGAAAGGAGGAGACGCATTACTTAAAGCCATACATGAGCTGATAAGAAAGATATGGTTGAATAAAAAGCTACCAAAGGAGTGGAATAGCGGCATTATTGTACCACTACATAAAAAAGGAAACCAGTTAGAATGTGAAAACTACCGTGGAATCACGCTGTTAAATGCGGCATACAAAATAATGTCCAACGTAATGTATGAAAGACTTAGACCATACGCTGAAAAAATAGTTGGCAAATACCAATGTGGCTTCTGTAGACAGAAGTCAACAATAGACCAGATATTTGTTCTGCGACAGATCCTTGAAAAAACAAGTGAATATAACATCGACACACATCATCTCTTCATAGACTTCGAAAGCGCATATGACAATATAAACCGAGAATTCCTAACAAAAGCAATGAAAGAATTTAATATACCAACACAGCTAATAGAATTGATAAAAGAAACACTAAAAGTAGAAAGTAAAATCCGGATACAAAACGAATTAACGGAAACAATAGATGTGAAGAAGGGACTACGCCAGGGAGACGCTCTATCATGCATATTATTCAACATCATACTTGAAAAAATAATAAGAGACACAACAGTTAATACCCGAGGAACAATAATTAATAAAAGCGTGCAAGTACTAGCATTTGCAGATGATGTTGACATAATCGCAAGATCAAGAAGAGAAATGATAGAGGCATTTACGCAAATAGAACGAGCTGCAAAAAATAGTGGTCTTAAAATTAATCAGACAAAAACAAAATATATGCCTGCAAATAAAAACGCACAAATAAGGCAACTGCCAAATTTAACAATAGGAGAATATAACATTGAGGCGGTAAAAAACTTTACATACTTAGGATCCCTAGTTACGTCTGATAACAACGTTGCAGAGAAAGTGAAGAGGAGAATATTTATTGCCAATAAATGTTACCATGACTTAATTAGGCAACTAAGATCAGATAACGTCTCCAGAAAAACAAAATGCCAAATATACAAAACCTTAATAAGACCGGTACTCACATACGGTTCAGAAACCTGGACACTCTCTAAAAGGGAGGAAACGTTATTAGCCACCTTTGAAAGAAAAATCTTGCGACACATATATAAGGGCACAAAAGAAAACGGGATTTGGCGGAGAAGGTATAACTTTGAACTATACAACTTATACCAGGATCCGGATATCATAACATTTATTAAAATAGGAAGGCTACGTTGGATTGGACATGTGGAAAGAATGGAAGAAGGAGAAATACCAAACAAAATATTCAAACAAGTGCCAGTAGGAAAAAGAACAAGAGGAAGTCCGAAGTTGAGATACGTAGAACAAATAGAAAATGATATAACAACATTAAAAATTAAAAACTGGAAAAAAAGCACGAAACAGGTCAGAATGGAGAAGAATCCTTGAACAGGCCAAGACCCAAAGAGGGTTGTCAAGCCAGTGATGATGATGATGAAAAACAATTAAAAAAAGTGAAATTTTGTTTGGGGGCAAACTAAAGCATCCATTGTTTTATGTTTAAATGCAAAGTTTGAGTCTTGATAAAATCAGTGATTTATTAACAGACAGTAAAGTTTTTAATTTTATAAAGTTTATTTTTTATCTGAAATATAGAACCCTTCAGCAACCCTCTCGTTAATTCATTTATATTTAATTTCATATGCTCCAATTATTTGGTTGGACTTTTGTCGTAATGATAACCACAAATTAAATAATAATTTTAACCCATATTTATCATACTTTTTCGGTTAGCCTGTCTACAAATATACGCAGTCTGCCTGCTTAGTAGATAAAAAGATATTATTCCTTAAATTAAAAAGATTTTAATCTGTAACCTTTTTTCCAGTTTTGCAAAATGGTCAGACGGTAGCAAAAGTCCGCCAGAACGTCGAGACTACTTACGAAAAAGATAAGCCGAAGACGAAAATTAAAACAGAATTGGATGTTCCGTCTGAGGGAATTCATAAAAGTGTGTCACAGTCGCTTCCAGATGAGGAGCAGAGGAAAATTGAAACACGCCGTTCTAACACTAATTTGAATCTGTTAACCGACGAAACTTCATGGGTAAGTAGGCTTTAACACCTTTTAATAGTATATTACATAACGAGAGTTGTAAGAAGCTTATTACATGCGAGTAAAAAAGTTGCGCCCGAGCCGCGTAGCGGCGAGCGCAGTAATTTTACAAGCATGTAATAAGCTTACAACTCAAGTTGTGTACTATACTTTTTCTACAATGTATATTCGTTTATAAAAATAAAAATTAAATTACCACTATATTTACACTGACAGATTAATAATTTTTAATCTGTCAAAATAACGTCTGTTAATTTGTTTCCATGGTAACTCGACCAACTGACTTACAAGGCTTATGTGATATTACACATTTTTATAGAACTGAAGCGTAATTTTTTTTATTGCGTGCTAGTCATTACGTGTCAGTATCTGTTATGATGCATTTACTTAGCATCCAAATAGTAGGTAATATACAATTTACTAGTAAGAGAGTAGAAAAAAATATAAATCACATACAAAAATCGTTGCTTGTACTATTATTGATCTTACCATTTAATTATTTAATTTTTATATTACAATGGTATACTATATTTTACATATCTTATACCCGTTTGTCTTTTAACTAAAATTTTCCCATTGAAATCATAAATTGTATTTTATTAATATTTGGATACATATTTTGGATGTTTTTTGCATAACACAAAATACGGTGAAGGTAATTAAGTAAAAGGTTTGTATTTTTAGTGGCAAAAAATTCTACGTATGTTGATTAGAATCCATTAATTTTTTATATATCTACTTACTTTGCCACGAATACGTGATAAAATTTTCAATTTATCTGTTAAGTTTTTGTGCTGGCTGATGAATTGTTTGGTATTATTTGTCATGTATTTTTGTATTATTTGGTTATTTGTCAAATTTAAGAAAAAGTTTGAAAATCTTACAATCGCCACGCCCACCTAATGCGCACTAAATTTATCGGAAATATACCAGTCGAAGTCAACACTTCAACTTGTAAAGGTCGGTCGGTACAGTCTGCGGCAGAGTTTTCTTAAAGAATAGTGTGTCTCGGTGCAATGGAATTTAAATCAAAATTAAATCGAAAAGTTTTGTCCGGTCAAAGCCGAGAAATTATAGCAAATGATATGCATTTTATGCAACAAGAAGCAAGGGACAACGTACCTCCAATAGACTTAAAACAAGTGCAAAAACCATAAAGCCTTAGTACTCCAAATAAAAAAAGAAATAAGTCGGCTTTAAAATCTAAGTTGGATAAGTGCGACAAAGGGGTGCTTCGTCGATTTATTATTAATTTTACTTAAAATACCGCCTTGGGAGGAGTCCAATTACTTGATTTATTTTTAGATGCATTTCGTTTGTGTACAGCTAGTATTTAGTTATAAAGTTCGCTAATTATTGTTTAAGAAATTCAATTGAAATTAATTTGTTCATTAAAACCTCTAGGTTAACATTATCAAATGCACCTGTAATATCCTCGAAACCTGCCATAGTCGTGAGATTACTATTAAATCCAGCTAAAGTATGTTTTTACTTTAGTAATTTTATTAATATCGCTTTATAGTAAATTTGTAACTAACATTGTAATTTTTTGGCTTTGAAATCTATCATTAAAACAATAATAACAGTAGTCATATTTTCACATTATTTATTTAAATTTATTGGTTATAATTACCTTCTTTTATGTCTACTTGTTTTTTATTTGGTAAATAAAATTATTTACTTTATTTATAGTATTATCTCATTATTATTGTTTACTTATTTAGTGTAAACACATCTAAAATGTAAACCATTAAGGAGAAAAGCTAATGAATAAAAAATAAATGTTTTACGTATTTTTTAAATAATACTTACCCTCCTATATAACTTGATTACGATTAAAAAGACATTAATGGATTACGTCAAATTCAGCAAAATATTTCTTGATAATGACTCCATATTAGGTATTTGTATAATTTGTATTATATGCACATGTTTCTTAGTATTTAAATTTTTGCATTTAAAAAAAATTGAGGAAGACTGTACCTTATCACCAAACCGAGCGCTTACGTCTTCCCTCTTTACTCTCCGAATGCGCGCTCTCTCTGATCTCTGCTCCGGCATCTAAAAGTGGCTTCCCACGATCGGCGATTCTACAGATCATCGCGGATAGCCGATCAGCACGGACAACAACGCACCGCAGACAGAGCTCTTCCTACGGTCCGTGACAGTAATGTTTGATTATATCATAAAAACTTCACTCGGGCTTGTAAACATCATTGCCTTCTGTATGTCGGCATTAAATTATCTCTCTTCTTTTTTAATTCTTTAATTGAAATAGTACTATTCTTCAATTAATTTTTTATTCGGTTCCATATATCGTATGCATCGTTCCGGTTCTTATGCTCTGGCGCCGTGGAAATCCATAAACTTGGTTCATTTTGATACACATTTAAAAAATCAAAAATAACTTTGTTTGTTCATTCGATTTTTTAGCAAAAAAACTGCAAAACAACTTTGACAACACTACAAACAACTACTCGTGTCAGTGATTGAAAAACTTCTGACTTGCACTTTAAAGCTAGATCCTTGCGCGTCTGTGTTAAAACACAGACGCGCTAGGATCGCGTCGCACGTGCATGTACCGCACCTTTGATGTTACCGACTCTAGATGGATAGGACGGACCAGCACAGACGTGCCTGTGCTACCACGGACGAGACCTTTCCCACGGTGCGTGGTGCGGGCTGGTCCGCTTACGTCCGCAATATCGCCGACCGTGGGAAGCCGCTATAAGATTCTGAAACCTTTTCGTATATTTGCCAAATAATAACAAAGAAGCATTCAGTTTTCAGAAATTTACGGTGGGTGTCAGTTGAACTCTAAATTTCGTGTGTAGCTGATTGGAAGGTTTTTTTATTGCTCAATATGTCTAGAGTGTATAGAATTCGCTGGTTGTCTCAGCTGAGTGATTTTAAGATGGATAGAATGTAAACAGACGCTTTTAGGAAGACCAACAGATCCTTTAAATAGAACGAGATGAAAAAAATAAATTAAGACTTAAAATGGGGCAAGATAAAACACGAGAGATAGGGAAAAAATACAACGAATAAAGAAAACTTGCCAACAGAATCATAAGATCAAAGATAAGAAAATACAATGAAAATAAATTCAAATACATAAAAGAAATCTTTAAAAGTAGAGAAATTAGAAACTTATATCAAGTAATAAAACTAAGAAAAATGGTTATCAACGAGACGAACTTTTTTTGACGAAGAAATACTGAACAGATAAAAAGAATACTTCCGAGAGCTTTTAATTTAAATACTCTCAACAGAATATAAAGAAAAAGAAGAAATGAAGCAAAATATCAATTAAAAAGTGACGAATGAAAGACCGCCTAATGAAAAAAAAATAATAGAAAAACAAGAGCCCATGAAAGGATGAAATAACAGCTAAAATATTAAAATATGGATGACTAGTACTATTTAGCATTTAAAAAATTTGCTAAAAGAAATATGAGGACAGCAACGCATACCAAAAGAATGAACTGCCTGGAAGCTACGCCCAATTCACAAAAAAGGCGACAAAAGTTTATGCAATAATTAAGTATGTTTAGCGCTACTAAATGATGCATATGAATTATTTGCAGTACATATAAAAGATATCACAGAAAATAGATAATGACATAGGACAATAGCAATGTAGATTCAGAAGAGGGCGCCGCACAGGAGATTACATTTTTTTTTACTGCATGAAATACAAACTACGAATACGGGAAATCTCCAGTGGCCCTATTCATCGAATTTAAACTAGCTGTTGACAGAGTAAAACAGAAAGAAATATACAATGACTACGTAAAATGGAAATTAGTAAAAAATTTCTAAGAACTAGTAAAAGTGACACTCAGAAAAACAGAGAATAGGGTGAAAATAAGTGAAAAAGAAACAGACCTGAACAGAGTGACAAGAAGACCTAGTGTCATCATTGTTGTTCAGTATCCTTTTTAAAATTGTCGTCAAAGAAGCTAGAGTTTACAGGACAAGAGTTATATATCGACGAAACACCAATGCCTAGCATTCTTTGATAACATAGTACTGAAACAAAAATGCAGAGGATGGCCTTCCACTACCATAAAATTTCCCACGAAACTGTATGATGCACCATTACCAATTGAAGAAAAAAAACTAAAACGATTACTGTGGCTGTGTAATACTAGCAAAACAGCCACAATGTACCATGGATTTTATAAAAATCTTAATTCAAAGAGTTGTGTACCTCCTAAAGTCCAGCTCAAAGTTGATTTAGTTGAGAGCGAAGAAGAATCAAAAGAGGAAAATTTAATTAAAATACAAAACTGCAAATTAGTTCAATCATGATCATCAGCTGTTTTGAGTCCACTGCAGGACATAGGCCTCCCGTAAATAGTTCCAATGCATTCTATCTTGAGCACCCTGAATCCAGTTGTGCTAAATGCGCTTGATGTCATCTGACCACCTTGTTGGAGGACGTCCTTAATTATGATAAGCATCGTGTCTAGGTCTCCATTTCAGAATTTTCTTTGTCCAACTTCCATCTTTTAATCTGGCAACATGCCCCGCCCAGTTCCATTTTATTGTTGTAATCCTTCGAACTGCGTCAGTAACACCAATTTTTGTCCTAACTATTATATTTGATACTCTGTCTCTGAGGGATATACATACTCAGCATTCACCTCTCCATCGCTCTTTGTACCACTTGTATTTTATTGATTACTTTTCTGGTAAAAGTCAATGTTTCTGCTCCATACGTTAGAAGCGGGAGTATACATTGATCAAAGACCTTCCTTTTCAAGGACATAAGAATATCTCATTTAAAGACTTATCTCAGTTTTCCGTAAGCCGCCCATGCTAGTCCTATTCTCCTGTTTACCTGCGTTGTTTGATTATCTCTTCCTAATTTAATCTCTTGGCCCAGACATTTATATACACCTGTTCAATTTGCGTGCCGTTAGTTGAGATGTTTTTCGCCAGTACAAGGTTGGTCATATATTGTGGTTTGGAAAAATTAATTTTAA